ATGAGAGCTTTAAACATTAAAATAAGATGGCTTCAGTAAAGGCATGTCAGGCATAGATTACTCTAAAGTCGACTTTTTACCTTGCTTTAAATTACGATAGACAATTACATAAACATTATGATAGTAGACAGAACCTGTCTTCAAGCATCTCCATGGTCTAAGAGACTTGAAATTATTTGAACCATTAAATATAGGTTTTTTGTGTAGAAATTGTTTTATTAGATTAACGTTTCTTTTTCGCTTTAGATATCGAGATTGAAGTCAGAAGAAGTGGACATTTAATTTTCTTTGATATCTTTATAAAATCACCAACTGCTTCTTGAATTAAATTTGCTTCAAATATTATAACCATATTTGGTCGAATTCATATGATGGTTCATATGATAGACTCTTTGTATAATTTAAATATGTCATAGGATGAATCTCATATTTAGGTTCACGTCCATAATATTTATTTTGACAACGATCACAGATTCTGATATCTCCATTATCAGCTTGCAGTGTTGGTCCTATCATTATAACTTTTAGCTGACTTATACGAGGTTACAGATGCAAAAATAGTTCCCAAGCATCTACATATTTTCTCTCAAGGCAGTTTGGTATTATTATATGAATAATAAATTCATATTTGTTATGTTTATACAATATAATAACTGCGCCTTCTTTATCGCATAATGCAATGTTAACGGTCTTGACACGTAATCAGAGTAAAAATACTCAAAACTCTTCCATTTTTGACGGTCGCTTTGCGCATTTGGACGCACATAATACGTAATAAACTTATCCATATTTTTTATGTCTATAGTGCCTCTTGTCAGGAAATACAGTAATTATATCAACTTCATCAAACCAGAGACTTGATATGATATCTAGATTTAAATATATCGTCAACTTCTGGGAATGTTCTCTTGTGTGCTCGATTAGAAATTCTTCTTCGTGTTCATTGCAATAGTAATCAGATTGATATATTTGGCACGAGCGCAGTTGCATTTGCCGATGACAAATGTGACACGATTTTGCAAAAAGAATCATATGCTCTTCATATGGCTTCAATTCACGGGACGATATTTATCTGAGTTTCTTCAAAATCTTTATCCGTAATTGGACCTATTCGGTTGTGTTTAACTGTGAAGAACTATGAAGAAATACTTTGTATTTCGTTGGAAGCTGTAATATATAGCTGCAAAATTGTGTATGCTCTCTCTTATGCTCCCTTCTGTGTATTTTGTTACAATAATAAATCATGAGGCACTTAGAACATGTTACAAAAGTGCCATTATCCATTTTCTTGCAAACGTGACAAACATTTGGATGGAAGAAATTATTATAATTTTTAAGTCCACTAGTCTGATTCATCACTTCTTCTAAGGTGATTGTGACATAATATATAATGTTATATCCTGCTTACCTGTTTGAACAGATACTTTTCTTGTTATTTCAATCTAGGAGTAATATAATAATAAATGTGTGTGGTACTGTACCTTAGCAGAAAGAAGGAATTTCTGTTTGCACAGTTCAGTCGATGACTGTTCGAAGAGCACTAAGAAGGTATTTAGCCAAGATTTCTTGCGTGCTTCGAATATTGTTTACAAACTGAATTGGATTTGGAGATATATTGTAGGATAAATATCTGATGTTACACATATGATGCGGCCAATAGAAGAATTTATCGAAATTATATAAAATTGATCTTATTATTATTACCTCGCTCTGTACGAAGAAAGAAAACACAGAATAAGATGGGCGAGTTCATGTTTTTAAATTTTAGAATTATTATCGTTATTGAAGATTTTAACAACTTAATTAATGGTTGGGAAAAGCAAACATATAAGAAACATTTTTGCCAGATATGTGCATTACTTACGAACATGTACGGATGTCGGTAGAAATATTGTTGTATATTTCTTTGTATGGAATTTGAGACGTTTTTATTTTATCTAATAGAAAAATTCTTTCATTAGAAAATAAATTAGACTCTTACTGGACGAAACAGGTATATTCCGAGGCTCACACAAAAAATTGCAAAAAATTCTCTTTTTATTTATATATTCTTAAATAGATATATCGATAAATAATTCAATAAAAAGTTTTGATAAATCGAATGCAAATAAATGAGATTGTAAGAGCCGACGAATAAATAATTTTCTTCAGTAAAGTTTTCTCCAAAAAATTTTTTAAGATAAGATTTTTTCTAATATATACGTAAAATTTAATCTTCCAAAATTTTCTAAGATATTTGTTCTCTCGATATACTAATATAACATCACTTTGATAACATTACCGTAAGGAATGTACAAAATGAATTGCTATTATACAGGGTGTCCCATTTAACCTGACAAATCGTAATATCTGGAAAACTACATGTCGGATCAAAAAAAGTGAGTAATGAAATTTATTCATCTCGAAGGGGGACATCCAATGATATCAAACTCTACCTCCCACCCCACTCCCGGGGGGTGAGGGTGGGGGCAACTTTGAAATCTTAAATGGGAACTCCCATTTTTTATTGCAGATTTTGATTCTACGCCACAAAATACGTAAGTTTCGTCCGAAACCTTTTTTTTTTTCGTGATAGATGGCGCTGTAATCGCAAAAAATTAGATTTTCTGCAATTCTCCAGAAATGATCATTGGATTGAAAAATAAAAAAATACCTGTTCAATATTTTTAAAATTAAAAATATTTTTAAAAAACATAACAGTTATTCCCCCCCATGAGAGGCGAGGGGACTCACCTAAAACAAGCACCCCGATGGTGAGAGGCGAGGGGACTCACCTAAAACAAGCACCCCGATGGTGAGAGGCGAGGGGACTCACCTAAAACAAGCACCCCGATGGTGAGAGGCGAGGGGACTCATCTAAAACAAGCACCCCGATGGTGAGAGGCGAGGGGACTCACCTAAAACAAGCACCCCGATGGTGAGAGGCGAGGGGACTCACCTAAAACAAGCACTCCGATGGTGAGAGGCGAGGGGTCTCACCTAAAAAAAGCACCCCAAAGGGAACAGAAAGCTACTACGTCCTCGTCGTTGTTCCTGGGTAACGCTAAAAGTAGTTTCTCGGAAAAATTCAACGCTATCTATCACGAATGAAAAAAATTGTTTCCATAAAAACTTCACGTAAAATCTAATTCTGCAATGAAAAATGTGGGTTCTCATTTGAGATTTGAACGTTACCACCCACCCTACCCCGAAGGGATGGAGGGAATAACTGTTATTATGTTTTTTAAAAATATTTTTAAAAATATTGAACAGGTATTTTTTTATTTTTTAGTCCAATGATCATTTCTGGAGAATTGCAGAAAATCTAATTTTTTGCGATTACAGCGCCATCTGTCACGAATCAAAAAAAAAGTTTCGGACAAAACTTACGTATTTTGTGGCGTAGAATCCGAATCTGCAATAAAAAATGGGGGTTCCCATTTAAGATTTAAAAGTTGCCCCCTATCCCCACCCCCGGGAGTAGGGTGGGAGGTCGAATTTGATATCATTGGATGTCCCCCTTCGAGACGAACAAATTTCATTACCCACTTTTTTTGATCCGACATGTAGTTTTCCAGATATTACGATTTGTCAGGTTAAATGGGACACCCTGTATATCTGAATATATTGAACATAATGAATTTTTAAAAAATTTTTTTAATAAAATAGATATTTTTTGTCGAAGTTATGCTATATTTCTTATTGCAAAAGTATTGCGACAGCACTAAAGATATACACCAAAATACACTTCCTAAAATAACGCGATGTTGCAGCAACTGTCATAACTGCGACGCAATAATCAATATACATATGAATAAAAATTTTTGGCGAATTTGATGCAAAGAAGTAATATGGTAAGACCCGAATATATAAATATTTTTAGTAAGATAAAATTTTCTTGTGTCAACATATTTTTTCTCCCGATATACAATTATGATATCACTTTGATAACATACCGTAAGGAATATGCAAAGTGTATTGCTATTGCATATTTATACACGCACATATACAAGGTGTTCAGAATCTTTTAGAAATGAAGAATTATGAAGATTAATCAGATAAAACTGAGAAAAAGATCAAGTACCTTTTGTAAATCAAGTACATTTTGTAAATAAGTACGCAAATTTTCAAATAATCAATTAAAAGAGTCCTCAAGTGTGATAATTTTCAATCATTAATAACTTAATCAATAATTTTTGCATTCATCCAATATTTTCACTCGTCCATCCACGATTAAAAAAGATTCTTTTTATATATAGCGTTACGAGAAATACTGCCTCAGTTCGGAGTAAAAATTGTGGATCCTTTATTGGGTTATACGCCGTGTCAATTCGGTTACTCAGACTTCGACATCGACCGCGACACTATAACTTATAAACATCATCCAACTTTGATCCTAATCTTTCGCATTTGGATTACGACACAAGCATTAAAAAATTAAATGCTAACTGTATATTATGACTTCCCCAAATATTCAATAATTAAAAATTAATTTACCCGATGAAAAGCGTTTTCAAAATGCAATCTGTCTAGAAATCCATATATTTTTAGTATAAATATACTTTAATTTATGTACTTCAATTAATAGATTAAATAGATTAAATATATTATATCCAAAGGTATATTTTTAAGCAGTTTTATAGAATTATTAAACAAACCGTTTTGGGATACTTTTGTACGCTCGATGTATATATCTTTATTATTTTTAATATGTTTGAGTAAAAAGCGACACAAGAGTTATTATGTTCTTTATTAAAAATATCCATAATTAACAAAGCAAAGTATATAACACAATAGCAAACAAAGCAATCTATATAACAAATATAGTATGCATGAAATACATAACATTATAATAAAGTAGTAACATTATAATAAAGTAGTAATTATAAATAGAAATTCCGTATAAAAAATTCATAATTCATAAAACTATAGTCTCTCTCTTATATTTTTTATAATAATATTGTCAAAGTAATATTATAATTATAGATAAGAGCTTTAAATATTTAAATAAGATAGTCCCGGCAAAGTCTATCATAGATGATTCTAAAGATGACTATTTACATTGCTTCAAATTATGATAGACAATTAAATAAACATTACGATAGTAGACAGAACCTGTCGTCAAGCATCTCCATGGTCTAAGGGATTTGAAATTATTTCGGCCATTATATATAGGTTCTATATGTAGAAGTTTTTTATTCATTTTTATGTATGCTTTCCCTTTAGTTTCCGAAGTTGCAGCCAGAAGAAATGGACACTTAATTTTATTTATTATCTTTATAAAATCACCGACTGCTTCTTTAAGAAAATCTTCAGATATAACCATATTTGGTTGTTTATACGATGGGGTCTTTGTGTAATTCAAATACGTCATAGAATGAATCTCATATTTATGTTCACGCCCATAATATTCCTTTTGACAACGATTACAGACTCTGATATTTCCATTACTAGCTTGCATTGTTGGTCCTACCATTACAACTGTTAGCTGACCTATACTAGGACGCAAATGCAAAAGTAGTTCCCAAGGATCCACATATTTTCTTCCAAGGTAGCTTGATGTTATTATATGAACAACGAATTCGCTTAGGTTTATGTTTAGAAGATGTAATAAATTCGCCTTCTTCATCGCATAATAGAATGTTAACGGTCCTGACAGGTAATCAGAGTAGATATATTCAAAACTCTTCCATCCTTGACGGTCACTTTGCGCATTTGGACGTACATACATGTATTCCGTAATAAAGCTATTCATACCTCTTATATTTCTCTGTTGCCTACTATCAGAAAACCTGGTAAACGTCAGCTGGCCTATACAAGGATCAGCTTTATCAATCCAGAGACTTATGATATCTAGATTGAGTTGAAACATCAACTTCCGGCAATGTTCTCTTGTATGTTCGTTCAGAAATTCTTCTTCATGTTCATTGCAATAGTAGTCAGACTGACATATTTTGCACGAGCGCAATTGCACTTGCTGATGACAAATGCGACACGATTTTGCAAAAAGAATCATTTGTTCTTCGTACGGTTTCAGTTGACGTGGCGATATTTGTTTGAGTTTATTCAAAATCGTCACCCGTGAGTTGACCCATTCGGTTATGTTTAAAGAAGAACTGTGAAGAAGTACTTTATATTTCGCTGGAAGCTGTAATATATAACCACAAAATTGTATATGCTTTCCTTTATGCTCCTCTCTGTGTTTTGTATTACAGTAATAAATCATAAGGCACTTAGAACATGTTACAAAAGTGCCATTATCCGTCTTCGTGCAAACGTGACAAACGTTTGGATGAAAGAAATTATTATAATTTTTAAGTCCACTAATCTGATTCATCGCTTTTTCTAAGGTAATTGTGAGATAATATATGATGTTGTATCCTGCTTACCTGATTAAACAGATACTTTTATTAATTGAATTTAAGAGTAATTAATGTGTGCTACTGTACTTTAGCAGAAAAAAAGAAGTCCTGTTTGCACAGTTTAGTCGATGATAGTTAGGAGAACACTAAGAAAGTATTTTGTCAAGATTTCTTGCGTGCTTCGAATGTTGTTTACAAACTGAGTTTGATTTGAAGGCGTATTGTATGATAAATATCTGATGTTACATATAATGCGGCCAACAAAAGAATATCATATTTATAGAAAATCTGATTTTATTATTATTTAACTCGCTCCGTACGAAGAAAGAAAAGACAGAATGAGAGAGACGAGTTTATGTTTTTAAATTACGGAATTATTACAGTTATTGAACATTTTAACAACTTAATTAATGGTTAGGAAAAGCAAGCATATTAGAAACATTTTTGCTAGAGGTGTACCTTACTTACGAACATGTACGGATGTCAGTAGAAAGATTGTTGGGCATTTTTTTCTATGAGATTTGAGACGTTTTATTTTGCCTAATAGAAAAGTTCTCTCATTATAGAAAACAAATCTCTTACTGGAACCTAACTTAGACTCTTACTGGATTAAACAGATATATTCCGAAACTCACACGAAAAATTGCAGATAACCTTTCAGTTTATTTGCGATATAAAAAAAAATATTTCTTTCGTCAGAGTATACATTGTATATGTGTGTGCGTTGCTAATGTATATTATGTAAATTCTCTTTTTACTTACATATATTTAAATAGATATTTCGATAATATAAATAGACATTTCGATAAATGTTTCAAGAAAAAATTTTATGAAATCGAATGCAAATAAATAAAATTGTAAGAGCCGACGAATAAATAATTTTCTTGAGTAAAGTTTTCTTCAAAATATTTTTTAAGATAAAATTTCTTTTAATATTCTTCTAAAATTTTTTAAGATATTTTCTCTTTCGATGTACAAATATAACGTCACTTTGATAATATTATTCTAAGGAATGTACAAAATAAATTGCTATTATATCTCTGAATGTGTAATGAATTTTTTTAATAAAAAGGATATTGTTTGTCGGAGTTATGTTATATTTCTTACTAAAAAAAGTACCGACAATACTAAAGATATATACCAAACACCTTCTAAAATGATACACGTAATATTGCAGCAACTGTCATAACTGCAACGCAGTAATCGATATATATTTGAATAAAAATTTTTAGTGAATTCTATGCAAAGAAATAATATGGTAAGAGCCGAATATATAATTTTTTCATTAAAATAAAATTTTCTTGTACCAATATATTTTTTCTCCCGATATACCATTATGATATCACTTTGATAACATACCGTAAGGAATATACAAAGGGTACTGCTATTGCATATTTATACATTCATATACCAGGTATGTAAATATGAAACTGGAATTTTTATATAAAAAATACATGTTTATTGTATGAAAATGATAAAAAATATTTTATTCAAAGTATTGCCCATCGCTAGCAATACATTTTTCCCACCCATCTGACAATTTGTGGATGCCACGCCAAAAAAACTGTTGCTCTTTTGAGGCAAACCAGTCATCGAGCCATTTTCGTACATTTTCGTAAGAAATGAAGCACTGTTTAGCAAGTGCGTGTCCCATCGATGCAAATAAGTAGTAATCGGACGGAGCCAAGTCTGGTGAGTAAGCCGCATGCGAAAATATTTCCCAATTAACGCCTCAATCGTTTCCTTGACCAGTTTTGCTGTGTGTGATGGTGCATTATCATGAAGCAAAATCACTTTGTGTTGCCCTTTTTGATATTCTGGTCGTTTTTCATGCAAAGCTTGATTCAAATCGATCATTTGTTGTCGGTAGCGTTCAGTATGAACGGTTTCGCCAGGTTTTAGCAGCTCATAATAGATCACACCCTTCTGATCCCACCAAACACAGAGCATTGTCTTCCGTCCATAGCGATTTAGCCTTGCAGTCGATGTCGATGGTTCGCCTGGAGTTGCCCATGATCTTTTACGCTTAGGATTCTCAAAATATATCCATTTTTCATCGCCAGTCACAATTCGATGGAGAAATGACTTTCTTTTGTACCTGACGAGCAGCATTTCGCAAGTGGTTTTTCGATTTTCCTGCTGTCTTTCATTCAGTTCATGTGGAACCCATCTTCCCATCTTCTGGATCTTTCTCATGGCTTTCAAACGCATGGAGACGGCTTCTTGTGTCACATTTAATTGATCCACGAGTTGTTGTTGCGTTTGAGCGTCAGAGGATGACGCTGGATGACGTTGGATGAGGAATCCAACAATGCTTGCAATTCGCTGTCTTCAAACTTTTTCGGTGGTCTTCCACGTTCTTCGTTTCTTACGTCAAAATCGCCACATTTGAATTTTTTAAACCACTCAAAGCACTGTGATTTACCAAGAGCATGCTCACCATAAGCTTCGACAAGCATTCGATGCGATTCTGTAGCAGTTTTCTTCAAATGGTAATAGAAAATCAATGCTGTCCGCAAATCGTAGTTTCCAGGCACAAAATTCGACATGTTCAACGCTATTACAAACTACGTTGTTATATGAAACTTGTATTGTTGTGAGTTGAAAATCTTTGTCAGATGTCAAAAAATGGAAATGGTGCCAATGACGCGGTTTGACGGTAACTACATTGACAGCTAGGGCCATCTATAGGTAAATTCCGGTTTCATATTTACGACCTGGTATATATAGGGTGTTCGGTATCTTTTGGAAACGAAAAAATTGTGAAGATTAATCAGATGAATCTGAGAAAAAAAGTCAAGCATCATTTTGCAAATAAGTACGCAAATTTTCAAGTAATCAATTAAAAGAGCCCTTAAATGTGGCCAACCAATTTTTCATCATTAATAACTTAATTAATAACTTTTGCACTCACCCAATATTTTCACTGGTTCATCCACGATTAAACAGAATTCATTTTATATGTAGCGTTACGAGAAATATACTGCCTCAGTTCGGAGTAAAAACTGTAGATCCCTTATTGGGTTATACGCCGTGTCAATTCGGTCACTGAGACTTCGACATCAACCGCGACACTATGACTTATAAACATCATCCAACTTTGATCCTAATCATTCGCGATTGGATTATGAGCGACACAAGCATTAAAAAATTAAATACTGTATATTATGACTTCCTCAAATATTCAATAACTAATTCAAAAATTAATTTAGCCGATGAAAAGCGTTTTCAAAATGCAATTTATCTAGAAATCCATATATTTTTAGTGTAATATACTTTATAATTTATATATTTCAATTAATAGATTAAATATATTATATCCAAAGGTATACTTTTAAGCAATTTTATAGAACCGTTAAACAAACCGTTTTGGAATACTTTTGTACGCTCGATGTACATGCCTTTGTTATCTTTTAATATGTTTTGAGTAAAAAGCGACACAAGAGTTATTAATTATATGCTTTATTAAAAATGTCCACAATTCACAAAGTAACTATATAACAAATATAATACGTATGAAATACATAACAATGTAATAAATTAGTAATATAAATAGAAATTCGTATAAAAAATCCATAATTCATAAAACTATAGTCTCTCACTTATATTTTTTATAATAATATTAGCAAAGTAATATTATAATTGTAGATAAGAGCTTTAAACATTTAAATTACATGGCCTCGGTAAAGGCATATCTGTCACAGATGACTCTAAGAATGACTATTTATATTACGTTAAATTACGATAGACAGTTAAATAAACATTACGATAGTAAACAGAACCTGTCACCAAGCATCTCCATGGTCTAAGGGATTTGAAATTATTTTGGCCATTATATATAGGTTCCACATGTAGAAATTCTTTATATAGATATATGAATTTTTTCTCTACAGATTCCGAGGTTGAAGTCAGAAGAAATGGACAGCTAATTTTCTTTGATATATTTATAAAATCACTGACTTTTTCTTCAATTAAATCTTCAAATATAATCACATTTGGTTGTTTATACCATGCACTCTTCGTGTAATTCAAATACGTCATAGAATGAATCTCATATTTATGTTCACGACCATAATAAAATAATTCCTTTTGACAACGATTACAGACTTTGATATTCCCATTACTAGCTTGCAATGTTAATCCTACCATTACAACTGTTAGGTGACCTAGAGAAGGATGCAGATGTAAAAACAGTTCCCAAGCATCCACATATTTTCTCCCAAGGTAGCTTGATGTTATTATATGAATAACGAATTCGCTTAGGTTTATATTTAGAAAATGTAATAAATTCGTCGCATAATATAGTGTTAACGGTCCTGACAGATAATCAGAATAGAAATATTCAAAACTCTTCCACCTTTGACAGTCACTTTGCGCATTTGGACGCACATAATTCGTAATAAAGCTATCCATATCTGTTATATTTCTATATTGCCCATTGTCAGGAAATCTAGTAAACGTTAGCTGGCCTATACAATTCGTCAAAGGATCATCTTTATCAATCCAGAGACTTATGATATCTAGATTGAATTGGAACATCAACTTCCGGCAATGTTCTCTTGTATGTTCGTTTAGAAATTCTCCTTTATGTTCATTGCAATAGTAGTCAGACTGACATATTTTGCACGAGCGCAATTGCACTTGCTGATGACAAATGCGACACGATTTTGCAAAAAGAATCATCTGTTCTTCGTACGGTTGCAGATCACGTTGCGATATTTGTCTGAGTTTATTCAAAATCTTTATCCGTGATTGGATCCATTTGGGTGTATTTAAAGAAGAACTGTGAAGAAGTACTTTATATTTCGCTGGAAGCTGTAATATATAACCACAAAATTGTATATGCTTTCCTTTATGCTCCTCTCTGTGTTTTGTATTACAGTAATAAATCATAAGGCACTTAGAACATGTTACAAAAGTGCCATTATCCGTCTTCTTGCAAACGTGACAAACGTTTGGATGAAAGAAATTATTATAATTTTTAAGTCCACTAATCTGATTCATCGCTTTTTCTAAGGTAATTGTGAGATAATATATGATGTTGTATCCTGCTTACCTGATTAAACAGATACTTTTATTAATTGAATTTAAGAGTAATTAATGTGTGCTACTGTACTTTAGCAGAAAAAAAGAAGTCCTGTTTG